AAATCAAATTTTCGGGAAGAAAGCCAGCTGGTATTCCCGGCGAACGGAAAAGTTGATATCCTTCCTCTTTTTCAACATTTTGAAATTCCTTAATTAGAAACAAAGAAAAAAACTCCCACAAACAGACAAAAAAACCCAAAACAAAACCCCACCACTCAAAAAAGCAAAGCAAACAAACAAACAAACCCCCCTCCAAAAAAAAAAAAAACCCAAAAAAACCCACACCAAATAAACCCTGAAACCATCCAAACCGAGCCATTGCGAAGAGCGAGGAGTGGAGCTGTAGGGAAGATTTTTTTTTTCTTTATAAACCCCGAAGAACGGCGTCGTGATCGCGGTGCTATCAGCCCGGCATCGGGCAGCCCGGCGGCGGAGCGGGCAGCCGGTGAAGTTAACAGGTCGTGCGCTGTGGGTTCGCCTGAGATTTGTTGTGCTTGAGAGGTCGGGGAAGACTTATCCATTAGCACAGTGTTATGTGAAATGACATCTTCTCTCACGGTGAGTTAAACGCTGCATTACGGCGAGAGATTGCGAGGAAATTTAAGGTAGAACTAATCTCATTTCCCGGTGCACCGCAGCCCTTCGGGTCAAAGAAATTTGTTTGCAAAATAAACCACCGAGCGCCGGGGCTAGAGATTACCTCCCTCCCTCGTGTTCCCTGCGCTTCCCGTTCATTTGCTCACTTCCCATCCCTCTCTCTGTCACTGGCTTTCTGAGGTTGTCCAGAGCGGGGGCGGCGGCCGGTGACGGGATCTGCCGTCCGCGTGAAAGCGGACTTTCCCTCCTGCGGCAACGCGGCGTTCGATACCCGCGTTTAATTCTCTCCCGGCACTGAACAAAATCACATTTATTTGAAGGCGAACTTTAAAGCCGGAAAGGCCGCGGTGCAGGGGGCGCGTGGAACCCTCTTCCACCAGAGCGCCCCTTGCCGCGGGTGGCAAGTGGACCCGCAGCCCACAGAGGACAGGCTCCACGCGTGGGGCCGGACACCCCAGGCGGGTGCAGCTGCGGCGGGTTTCAGCGGCGCCCTCCGTCATTCGCGGCCGTGGAAAATCGATGTCTTCCGCAAGAATTTCGGGGCAAACAGAAGGAATAGAACCAAAATGCTAGTGTCTTCGCTCCGGTCTCGGCCGTGGTTGGGTAGTCACGGGGACCATTCTCTGCCAAACTATCTCCAGACCCGCGTCTCCTCGGAGTGGAACGGTGGACGTGGGGGTCGAGACCGTGGTGAAAAGGGGAACCGGGGGGGCAGCGGTGGTAGCTATCCGCCGGGGGACCGGAGCGGTGGTTCGATCCGGGAAAACAGCGGACTGGGTTGGGGCGATCCAGAGCGGCACCTCGGGCCCTTCTGTCCCGACACTGTTCCCGCGGCTTCCTAGTCCCGCATGGGCAGAGCCCTTGGCGGCCGCCGTCCAGGGTCCCGGGGGCTCCGAGGCGGCCGGAGGACAGACGAGATCCCCGGATCCCCGCCAGTGGCTCCCCAGGACCGGCCGCACCCCGGCTCGTTTCGTTCCCCTCCCGTCCCGGCTGCACCGTAGCTCCAGACTCGGCCCGCCGACCCCTTGTCTGTGCTGCCCCCGCCGGAAAGAGCACAAGAGTCTCTCCCCCTTCCCGCTCCCTGTGGAGGCCTCGGGTTCCGGAGAGGGGCACGGCGGTGGGGCGGTTGCCTCATTCCCGCACCAGTTCGGGGACAGAGCTCGATGCCCTCCGGCTCCAGCAGCCCACGGCCCGACGGGGCCCCCGGCCTGCAGTCATCCGGGAGCGCGGCCGCGGCGGAGACGCCCCGGCGGGCAGGAGCCGATGCTGCTGCCGGGGCTGTGGCAGGTTTGGGGGAAGGGACTGCGGCGGCCCACGCCTTTGTTCCCGGTGCCTGGAGGGCCTAAGCTCCAGGCCTGGGCAGGCTCGAGCCCTGCCGGCCTCCGGGGGCTGGGACGGGCTCCGGGGGGACGACTCGGCCACTTCCATGAGGAAACGCATGTCTTAATGATGTCGTCCCTACTCTTTTCTTCATGTTCTTTCCTTCTCTTTTCCTTCCTTCTCTTTTCCCTCCTTCTCTTTTCCTTTTTTCTCTTTTTCTTTTTTCTCTTTTCCTTGTTTCTCTTTTCCTTTTTTCTCTTTTCCTTCCTTTCTTCCTTCCTTCCTTGCTTCCTTCCTTCCTTCCTTCTTTGCTTCCTTCCTTCCTTCCTCCCTCCCTCCTTTTCTCCTTCCCTCTCTTCCTCCCTCCCTTCCTTCCCCCCCTTCCTTCTTCCCTTCCTCCCTCTCTTCCTTCCTTTCCTTCCTGCCTCCTCTCCCCTTCCTCCCTTTCTTTTTCTCAGTTTCCTTTCTCATTCCATCCTTTTTCCCTTTCCTCTTCTCTTTCCTGTTTCTTTTCATCCTCTTCCCTTTTCTTTTTTCTTTCCCTTCTCTTTCCTTTTTCTTTTCTTTTCTTCTGTTCTGTTTCTCCCCCTCTTCCGTCTCCTCTTGCATGAACAACACCGCAGGATCTTCCTCCTCACAGTGAGTGCACTGTGCATGATTCCCTGAACTTAAAGCTCTGAGAAGAGGTGAGGAGCCCGAGATTTCGTTCCCCACAGCCTTGTGGGGAACCTCCCGTTCGCCTCTGCCACCCAGTTGTCCCTCGTCCCAGCCCCGGCGTCCCGGGTGCCGCGGCAGCTCCCTGGGCAGGAGTCCCGCCACCGGAGTCCGCTCCGGACTCCCGGCGCTCGGAAGGGAAGTACGAGCCCGCTGCTGCCTGAGCCGCTGTCAGAGTCTGCCTCTCGCACGGAGAAGGCAGAGCAGGCTCTTGTCTGCTCACCATAGGGCTTAGCATCACATATTTCATGTGGGTTCATTATGTGTCCTGACAGTTTTAGAAGGTGTTTGCAAAGTTTGACAGCAGTTAATCAATAGTGAAATGACCGGATTTAAATAAAAATAGCTCTCTATAATCTATTTTTTTTTTTTTTAACACTGAGGCATTTGGCTTGTCAGCTTATTCAATACAGTTCAAGCCCTGTGCAAATAGAGAGATTTTCTGTATTATTATTTTTTTTTCAAGAATTGGCATCTGTACTGCCCCTGTGGCTTGTTTTCAGCTTCTCCACTCCTCTGTAATATAAGTAGTTTGGATGAATAGCAACACCAGGGGTAATTATATTACCTCCTGGTACATGGGATTATTATGTGTTCATGAGGTTTACACAGTTTCACTGCTATTCCTCCAAGAGGGTTCTGTTTCCCACCATATACGTGATTCACCGTGCTAAAGGAGAAGGGTGCAAATCTGCTCAAATAAGAGTAATATACTGGGTTTGTCCAAGTGTTCATGCTTTATTTGTGGGATCGCAATATCTGCCCAGACTGCTGCAAATTTTAGGAGCAGAATCGTGCTCTTTTTCTTTTCTTTTTTTTTCCCCCTTTTCCGCCTTGATTAATTCAAGGCATCTGCAAAAACAAAGCCAAAACCACAGTGTGTTTCATTTCAGGTATCTCCTGTATTTAGACAGAGGCAGTGTGTGGGCTGAGTGATCACCCAGCCTTATTTTCCACTGGCTTCCTAGCCAGAGGCTCTGACCAGCCTCTGCTCCGCGGGGCAGCACCAAGCCTGCCCTGGAGTTCGTGATTGGGTGAAGGAGGCTTTGGGAGGAGGGTTGGGGTTAACCCGGGGTGCCGGACACGGCTGCGTGATTCCCCGTGGCCATCTTTCCCGAGGGACCCCGGTATGCCTTCAGTGAGTGGCATTGCGGCAGTGTGGTCGCCTCCCTTCCTCTGCCCAGGCAAATCGGACCGATGCTGGGGCTGCGATGCCCAGAGCCAGGGAGCGCTGGACCCGGGGACTGTGCTCTGCAGAGACGTCTAAAACTCTCACACAGCTCTTCTCCTTGCCCTTCTTCCTCTCCCTTGTGTGTTTCAGGACATGGAGGGGTGAATCAGCTGGGGGGTGTTTTTGTGAACGGCCGCCCCCTCCCAGATGTCGTTCGCCAGAGGATCGTGGAGCTCGCCCACCAAGGGGTCCGACCGTGTGACATCTCCCGGCAGCTCCGCGTCAGCCATGGCTGTGTCAGCAAAATACTTGGCAGGTAATGGGGGGACGGCGAATCCTTCTGTGTTCGTCAAGAGGAAAGTGTCGGTGTTGGTCCTGAACTGGAGGCTACAAACAAACGGAGACTTGTAGAAGTCAGGAGATCAGTCCAGTGAGGAGAAGGGCTTCCTGATCGCTTGTGGTTTTATATGGAAAGATGTGGAAAGAAAGAGCCACTATGTCTTGTTTCGCATCTTCTCATATGTAATTCTAATGCAAAGTGCAGAATGCCGTGTGTATTTGCTCTATATATGGCATACGTCCTGCAGCTGTCCTGAAAAAGAGAGGTAACCTGGCAGTCATGTTCAGCAAAATGTGAAAAAAAAAGTAGAAGTTGTGGAAGTTACTCGTTTTGCTTCCTGAAGACAACTGTCTTTTAACAATACTATCATTATACTTTTATCAACATTGCATGCACTCATATAGGCTATTTTGCAATATGTCCTACTGTTTACAATTAAACATCTTTTCCCATTCTTCTGTTGGTTTATGAAAGTAAAGGATACAATAAGAAACTAAGAACCATCTTAATTTTAGCTATTTTGGAAGTAGCCCTCTATTCAGGTGGAAACTGCTCCAAACACCATGGCACAGGAAATTAAACTCTGAATTAATTTTATTTCGTGGTTTCATTTTAAAATTTGACATAGATTTTGGTAAAAAAAATGCCATCCTTGCTTTTTTTTGTTATTTTTTTATCTTTTTTAATTTTGTGAACAAATCTAAAATTAATTTGTGTAAGTTATTTTTTTTAAACCCAGGTATTCAGATATAATTGGCAATTTATATTAGGGAAATTTAAATTTGTTTTTTCAGAGTATGTTTTTCTTGTTCATCCGGAAAAGTTGATTCCCAATCTGTTTGCTAAACTTTCCCAGTTAATTTAATTGTTTAGAATTTTACTATTTTTATTTTAACTGTCTTTTTCTTTCCTAATTTCTAACCTACTTACTGGACACAGCATAGCTGCAAAGACTGTTACGCCTTTTTTTTGCAGTATCATGCATGGGATCTGTTGGATTAACAGCATTTCTTACCACGGGGTGGCCATTTAAGTGTTCAGATTTGTCAGGTTCACAGGCCTCTGGTTTCGGAGTTCTTGTCGCTATTTTCTCCACATACATGTTACCTGTACTCGCCCAAACTGGTGAGCGGAACCCCCATAGCCCCACTCAGTTTCAGAGCTGCAGGAGCCAGCACGTTGGCTGTGCTCAGTGTCCCTGCTTTTTTTCTCATGCCTTCCTCGAAGTTACGTGTCCTCACTGGCAAGCTACATGCATTCTTCCCAGTGCAGTTTTGAGAACACAGATGCCTTGACTGTTTTATAGAGGAAAATTTTCCATGGGCTTTATCCTGCCTACCATGGGCTGTTTCACTCGCTTATGGCTCTGCATCCGCAGCCAGCAAAGGCCCATGCTCCCCACTTGGCTGGCGTGGTTTGGCTGGTATGGTTTGGCTGGTGATGCTCACTACTGCAGCAGAATTGCCACCAATTCCCATCAGGACCCACACATAGCCTGGAAACAGCCAATTTATTTACCCACCAGGCAAAAGTCTGATAGTTTTAGTTTTGACAGTTTAGGTCTATTGCTAGATATATTTGCACTGTAGAGCTGAGACTTGTACTCCAGAGCTCTGTCATTAAAGTTGTCAACAATAAATTGAAATTTCATAGCTCATTATTTTCACAACTAATAATTACAGTGGGTAAAATGTCTCTGTAATTGCAACTTTGTGTTGTGTGTGTTTTTTCATATGTGTTCATATATGTGAAAAATGGGGATCCTTACACTGGGAATTTTATGATTGGAATTTTTCAAGCCCCAGTGCAGCTTTAAGAAACACCCAGAGGCAGGGAACCAGCAGCTGCAGGGCAAATGAAGCTCTCACCCCTCGGAGGAGGGTGCCATGGGCATGCTCACCCTCCACTTGCTTTGGCAACTCTCTGGGAGCAAAAGGCCTTGTCCTGATGTGCATGAAATGATGTGCAGCAATTTTTGCCTTTAAAATGGAGGTGGGAGTCAGGGATGCCAAAGCTGTATAGACTGCAGGCCCTGTAGTTACACCCAGGTTCATCACCAAGGTCGAGAGGAGAGGGATGTCAGCAGCAGTGCAGGGTGAGGGCTGTCCCCATCACTGTGAGTTCCCCCAATGCCCAGGGAAGGGAGTTTGTGCCCAATCCTGCAAGTCTAGCCTTCCCATGGGCTCATGTGCACCTTGACATGACTTGAGGCTGTGAGAGTGGGCAGGGATTAAAGACTTAGTTTGGGAGTGGTCTTGCTGTCCCAAAGGGCACCAGGGTTTTGTCCCCTGGTGAGCTCACCACAGCTGCAGCACTGTGGTGTCAAGGCCCTTCGCTATGGTGGCTTTCCTACCATGGTGATTGGCTGTGGGAAAGCATCAGCTGGCGTGTGCAGGCACAGTGTCTGGTGCTGCTGGGGATGCTCCTCTCTGCTGGGCTTGTCCTATGGTGCAGAGAACTGACCATGGGTGCTCTTGGAGAAAAACACTGAGAAATGTTTGTGAAATCCCTTGTTCTGGCGATCTAAGAAAACTGTGACTTGTTGTCTCCTAACATTTGTGGTATTGTCTGGCTGCCTTCTACATGCTCCTCACAGGAGAGCTGCGAGCAGCCAAGGTTTTATAAGGGGTGCCAGGTTTTATAAAATTTATGGGCCATATTTGCCATTATTTTGTCATGTTCTTGTCAAAGTTCATGAGGAGCTGGATTTTGCCTCTCTACCCTAAAACTCTCTGCATTTAGGGGCAGCAGGAGGGTTAATCCATCTCTGACACTCAGTGTTTTAGAGTTGTTTTAATGGCTCATGGAGACTGCTAAGTCCATGTCAGCATCTGCACCCAGAATATCTGAGAACATGTATGAACAATTTGGTCTCAGTGTCTTTGAAGGAATTTTAGGCCCTGCATACAGGAAGACTGAAAGATAGGTAGCCTGAGAGAAATTTGATGAACGTGGTTGTGTGTTTCAGTGAGGCAGACTTTGGCTATGCAGTCGGTTTGTGCTTTGTTCAGGCTGGAAAAATGGGGGAATTACATTTTTTTTTCTTTATGTAATGATTATGTCAGTTGTAGAGAAAATGTATTAATAAACAGCCTTATATTCTTGCTTGGGAGTTTTTTTCTGAGCTAGAAATATGGTTACAGAGCAGCAAGTGGTCATGTTTGAGCTTCTGAGAGTACAGCTTGGTGGGTATCCAGTTGAGAGGCTGATGGAGTTGGAGTTTGCTCTATATGAAAGGGATGTGCAGAATTGGGGCAGGTGGTGTGGTGGCTGAAGGTAGGCATGGGGCTTGTTTTTCATCTGGTTACAAGATACAAAGTGCAGGACTGGGAGAGAGCCTTCTGCATGGAGCATTCCGACCACAGCGGAGAAAAGCACGGTCTCATTCTTGGTCTCCATTCTGGTCCTCATCAGATAAGGTGCGACTTCTGCTCTTAGCAGCATGTTCAGTACTTTGTTCATTAAAGGGGGAGTCTTGCCTGGCCCAGGGATCTCAGCTGCCATGTATTCTTGCAAAACTACCAAAAGCAGTTGCTCTTGTGTGCTTTATATGTGAAGAATTCTGTCAGATTTCTGTTGGTTTAGGGATCCCATTCTCCACATTTCCTGGGGGCGTGGTATCAGCAGAGTTGCCGGTGGGGGTGAAGATGCAACGCCTGAGGAAGGGCTGGTCACAGAAACCAATCCCTGCATCAGCTGCATCCCCTTGGAGTGAAGGCAGCTCCCTTTCCCTCAAAAATTGTGATTGATACTACTGAAAATATAATACTGAAAAGAATACATTTTAAAAATATGAACTATTAAAACTCTAATATGCATATTGAAACCAAAAAATAGAAAAAAAGATATACTGGCATATTTATTCCAGGTGTGCAAATAAAACAGAATACCTAGCCATTATTTTACTCTAAAATGATAGCAAGCTGTAGATATTAATGCCAGAATTTTTGTAGAAGCAGTAATTTCCTACATAAGAGTCCACTGCAAAAAGTGTTCTTTGGTGTGATTTGTTTTTATTATTGCCAGTACTGCTGATTAATAACACACATTTTCAGTTAATTTTGGATCTCAGCATGCCCTTTAATCTTGCATTGTTTCTTTTGTCTTGCTATTACAGAAAAATATATACTGTATCCAGAGGCCCAATTCCAATTACTATAAGTTAATCTATTAGGTGATAAAGCACTACATAGGCAGAAAATGTGTATGTGAAAGTGAAGATGTATCTCGGGTTTTGCTGGCCTTTGGTTACCTTGAAATGATGTTCTTTATAAATCTCAGAGCATGTTCTCTGTCTGTGTGTGATAACTAAAGCTTTGTTTTGGATGTTGTCCCAGGTATTATGAAACCGGGAGTATTAAGCCTGGAGTGATTGGAGGATCAAAACCAAAGGTCGCCACACCCAAAGTTGTCGAAAAAATTGCAGAGTACAAACGCCAAAATCCCACCATGTTTGCCTGGGAGATCAGGGACAGGCTTCTTGCTGAGCGAGTGTGTGACAATGACACCGTGCCTAGCGTCAGTTCCATTAACAGGTAAAGCTCGGTATAGTCCTGGGGTGGATGCTGCATGGAAGCACTGTCTTTGTGTCCTTGTCTTTTAGTATGACTGGGTGTTTGGGGCTGTTTGCAAGAAAGGCAGCTTCACATGTTTCCCTAAGGTGTTCGGGGCTGGAGAGCAGCTGTAGGCTCACCTTGGTGGCTGAAGCATCACAGATGATGAGGGTTTTCCAGGAGAGGGCAGGTTCTGCTACCAGCCTTTGCTTCTTTCCCGTTCTTTCCCCAGTCTGTGAATGGGGGAACCTTGCTGGGAATGACCCTGTGTGTTTGTTTCGAATGAAGCCCCAGTTCTGCTCAATGTGGTGAGGGTTCAGTGAGACATGCTTTGCCCAGAAGGGAAGCTGAGTACACCCATTGAGTAGGGTGGCAGTCATCTGGGAAAGAGGGGGCTCAAGGCATGGGTGCCATTCAATCCCCTGACACCTGCTTTGTATTGATGACGTTGGCCCAGGCCTATGCTCAGCATGAATATCACCAGGGGAGTTTGGTTAACAGTGTCCAAGGACCACAGCCATCTGCTTGTTACATGGATGCACTTAAGTGGCCTTGAATTCCTTTTCTAGAAATGCAAGGGAATCTCGTTTGAAGCCTCAGTCCTGTGTTTGAGAGTCTTGCTACAACCTCACCAGTCAGGACTGGGCCTGCAGGGGGATCTGAAGGGGCTCCAACCTACTGCCTTCTCTGTTACACCTTCTGTACTCACCACTTCCTCCCGAGTTGAGTGATGTATAAGGCTGGTGTTAGAAAAACCCAGTGAAATACTTCATGATGGCTTCAGCCCTGCCAGAGCAACAGTAAAGGATGAATACTTGGATGGCAGAGTGCTTGGGCAGCCTCACACACACCCATGGCAAGCAGAGTTCGTTTGTTTTCACTCTATACTGGGCTTCCACATCACTACACTGCTGAGATGATTTTCACTTGTGCAACTGCATGCAAATTCTTCAAATGCAGCTTGCTGTAAAGTGTCTCATTTTTGTCCACGGACATGAAATAAATTGATGCAATATTCTTTTATTGGCTATCACAACCTGATTTGCATTCATGGAGTTACCGCTTGAGTAGCCGGAGTGGCTACCCCAGTGCTAGCAGAAAGTGCAGTCTCTGCCTTGATGGACTGAACATTGAGTCATATGTTCATGTATCTAAGAGAAGAAAGTGGGTCAGTTCATGCATGCCTCTTGCTGTCGACTGGGAACCCCTGACTTGCTGAGGCTCCAGAGCAGCATGTAGTAACTCTACGGACATGGTGTCTTCAGTTTTAAAGAGAGTATTTTAAAGGAAATAATGCAGACACTAGGAAAAACAAAGGAGAATATCAAATAGTTAGGGGAAAGCTCTGCTTCCATTAACATCAGCTGGAGTCATGTGAGAAGCATGGCTGCTGTAAGCAGTCCTGTGTTTTTATAGGAGAACTTCAAACATCCTCCAAAAAACTTCAAAAGGGCACTCATATCTTTAGGAAAGAGGGAGATTTAAGTGGCTTCCAGTCATGTTTTGAGGCAGTTTCTATGTTTCTCTTGCTGTGTTCTTGTGTATTTCCACACTGATGATGCCCACACCCCCACTCCCTTTGTATCAGAAACCCATTTTATGATCCACCACCAAGTTTTTTTGCTGCAAATTCAGTTCTTTCTAATCTGCTAAAATCTTATTCTTTTCTCAAAGGTTTGAAATCCCTTTTAAGAAATGCATGCAATCTGTTTTATTCAGTCTGTGTAGCTGGAGAATAGTTTTTGCTGGCCAGGGTCCTCATCCTGAAAACCCAAGAACAGCCATGTGACAAAGAACCTGGAATTCACATCAAAACACTTGGTTTAAATGCTGAATTCTCCCAGTTTCAATACTCTGTGGTCTTTAATCTCATATTTAATATTGAGTATACATTTTGAGGCTTTGCTGGACGGGGAAGGATGCAGCCCTGTGCTCATGATGCTCTTGCTCTCCACTGAGGAGCAAATCAGGGGCGGCCTGGTCATTGCACACTTGAGCCCAGCCAGATCTTGCAGCATGGTTCCTGTGCTCCTGCAGTTGGCATTTCTGCACAGAGGAGGTCCCTTCTGCCCTGGTCCCCTGTCCCTATGTCCATGGTGCAGGGGGCTTACTTGAAGCTGTGCTATTCCCTCCTGGGATGCTGATGATGCTCCTGTGAAACACTGGGGCTATGGGAACGGGCTATTCCCAGCACATCCTCACTGCCAAGGAAGCCTTTTAGTAGATGAGTTTGAGCTGCTAACCCCATATAAGAGTAAATAATAATTACTATTATTAATTAATAACGTTAATATTAATAACAGACCACTCTTCCATAGCAGGAGCAAGTCTGTCTGATTATGACTTAATTAATCATTGTGATTAGCTTTGCCCAAATAAGCTGAGAGGTGTCCAGCTGCTTCAAACTGCTCCAGCCCTCCATCCGTCAAGAGATGAAGATGTTTATGTGTCAGAAGGCCCTGGACACCCCTCCCTCACCATGACAGCCTTGTACAGGGGGCTGTTTCCACTCTCACCCATGCAGGGTCCAATTGCTTTGGCTGTGCTCCCCTACTGAAGCTGCTGTCACAGCTGCTCCTGCCCATTGTGCTCAGCTGACTGTCCTGAGGGTTGTGCCACTGGGACCAATACGCTGACCGTGCCTGACATCCAGAGGCTGGCAGCCAAAAGATGGCTTGTGGACAGACCAAACACCTGCCAGACTCCATCAGACTCCTCTGAGGATTGGGAGGGGAAGGCAGCACACAGTCTTCTGGGATGGGGTTGGGTGTCACCAGTAATGGTCCCTGTGCTGGCTCACGGTGGGGCTTTCCAGCAAGGAAGTGTTGTGTGTTCCTGTGAGCGCACCCCCATGCCTGCTCCGTGAGACCACTCTCCCTCCTTTCCCATCTTCCAAATGCGTGGCAGGCAGGAATAGGGGGAGAGTTTGTCTGGCACAGAGAGAAAAAATGCTCACTGTGGCATTGTTGCTGTGCCAGCAGTGCCTGAAGCGGGGGGAATGTGTGGTGAGCAAAGGGCATGCCTCCTTCCAGCCCCTTTCACTTCTGCTGCAGTTGGAAGCAGAACTGTGTGATCTCTGGAAGTGTTTCTGACCCTATCTTTTTCCATAGCACATGCGCAGGTGAGCACTGTGTGTAGCATCTTCCCAGCATCTCTCTTTGTAGCAGGTGCCCTTTGTCCTGCACCATCACACATGCCTTCTGTTTTTCTGTATCTCTGAATTTTTCCTGATTGGTGCAAATATAAATCAGAGCAGTATGTCCCCAGAGATGACAATGTGGTCATTCAGGTTTTAAGACTGACATTAATTCCTACATTTCTTTCTCTCTCTCTCTCTTTTTTTTTTTTTTTTTTTTTTTTAGTAATAATAATTTGGCTAAGCAGCTCCTTTTCTAAGGTATCCAAATGTCTCTCTAGCTGTGTGAGTACCATGGCTGGGGCAGTCTAGGGACAGCTTTGCAAAAGTGTCCCATCACCCAAGAGTGCAAACCATAGCCTGCTGGGACCTCTGGGCTCAGAATAGTCCAGCTCCCTGCAGATGGGGTGCTGGCCAGACGGTTGCTCAGATAGTTATGGATTGTCTCTTTCCTGGGTGGTGAGGACTGGGTCCTCAGAGACACCAAAGCATCAAACTCTGAACCATCCTGAGAACTGTCTGGATGCAATCATGTGTAATGTGCTCTGGAATGACCGTGCTTGAGTAAGGAGGTTGGACCAGATGACCCATCAGGTCCCTTCCAACCTGAACAATGTTGTGATTCTGTGAAATGTCACCCAGATGTCCCTAATGGGGGGGGGGGAAGGGGGGCATAAATGTGGTCCTGGGTCCACTCACCAGACTGCCATATTTTGGTGAATGACAAGGGGAGCATACACAGAAAGGAAATTTTTGTATTGATATAGGTGTTCTGCATGGAAAAAATAGTGTCTGATGCCCCCAGCAATTGTGTGCTTAATGCTAAGTGGTTGTTTCTTTTCCACTGCTCACAGGATCATACGGACAAAGGTGCAGCAGCCACCCAATCAGCAGGTCCCAGCCTCCAGTCACAGCATAGGTAAAGAAAACTTCTTTAAAAAAATATATTAAAAAATTCCACATAATGGCTTACAAATATTCTAGAGAACTTTTAATCATTCTTATGGACAGATAATTCTGCATAAAACACTTCAGCACACGTGCTAATGCGCCTTCTTTGTCATTCTCCAAGGGCTGAACATAGTAAATGAATTTTATAAATACTGCTAAAAGGTTTTGAATTTTACTGATTATTATGATAAATAGCTTTCACCATGAGACAGAAAATTGAAATCTAAACCAAAAAAACCCCACTAATGGGGGTCTATAGAATGTCAGATAATTAAAGTAATAAATCAAGAAAGGGATACTTATTCATAACATTTTCTGCATCATTAGTCAGTAAGTAGTTTTGAATGTGTTTTTTTCATCTATCAGCCATCCCTTCCATAATTCTTTGTGCAGTTGCAGTCTTGAGTGAAGAGGTAGCAAAACTTTCTGAAACTTTTAATTCAACTGCAGAGCAGTGATGCTGCGTCTTTAGGCAGGTGATGCTGGAGCAGGAGACACCCAGGCTGGTGAGGCACTCTCAGCCCTTCACCTGGATGACCGTGTCTTTCTGTGGGGCGTCGGTGCTGCTGTGCTGCGATGTGGCAGGGATGTAGGGGCTCAGTCAGGGCTCAGGGCTGCTCTCTTTTTGTCCTTGTTCCACAAAACTCGCTGGGGCACAGGTCAGCCCTTGCCCAGCAGGAGATGGTGTGGGGATAGCTCCTCTCTGCCTTTATGCTGTCACCTGTGATTTGGTGAAATGTTTGGTACCACGTGTTTGGCAAGGGTGTGCTGGCACCCTGAGACAGAGAGAGAAGTTGCAGAGTTGCCTGTGCTCTTTTGGCTTGTCAGAAAAGTCACACTGCAGACCCCATGTCCTCAGCCTTTCCAGGAAATGGCAAAACAATCTCAGGGGAGGAAAAGCATCTCTTCTCTTGCTGTGGTGGTTTAAGACCTGTCTCTCCTTGAGAAGAACAAGAGCAGGGAAGAGAAGAAAAATCTTGTTTGTCAGGGCCTGGAGTTGATAACGGCAGCACTACTGTGCTCTCTGTGAGTTGTGGCTAGGGGTCTTTGATGTGGTCCTGAAGTATATCTCCCCACCCTGTCCTTGTGGTCTATGCAGTGACTTTCAGAACATCCAGATGTGGCAGGGCAGGCTCAGTCTATGAGCTGATCGAGTTGATGGTGTGCTCCCTCCTCTACCTGCTTCCTTGTAACTTGGACTCCCACAGCATCATGTGGACAGTGTTTGCAGAGTGGTGTGGCAACTCCAAGCTGGTGTTGGCCATGATGACTGACCTCCCCCTTGCTGGACACAACCAGCACCCTTTTCTAATGTCTCTGCCAAAGCAAAGTGGATATTATTCATATTTTCGGTAAACTCGGGGCCATTCAGCTGTCCATCTGCGGGTAACCCCAGCTGTGCAGGATCTTCAGTGGCCAGGAGGTCCAGCAGGATGCAGGTAGCACACGTAGAACAGTGAATGCAGGTTACTCTATTCCCAGGAGGTCCCTGGCCCAGGACCCTTTTTGTGGCAGTTCCTCTCTCTCTTCATGACTGTGTTCCCGCAAAGCTCTGTCCACCTTTGCTGGTGACATGGGCTGCTGTATCGTGGGTGGCTTCTGCTGCCCCAAGCAATGAGTGTTCCCAGCAAGCCTCAAGAAGGGTGAAATATCTCACTGCTAAAGGAAAAGCACCTCCAATTTCAAAATGCATGCACCCAGCATCTTGTGATAGGGGCGAGGGCTGACCGTGCCTCTGCTGCCACTGCTGCACTGGGCTGCTGTGGCATGCTGCTGGTTTGGACTGTGTGTAGTTGGTCTGGATGAGTGTCCTTCCTGAGCTGAAGGGGCCATGGTGGCTGGCAGAGGCCCAGCCGACCTTCATCATGCCATGGGGGCCAGTGGCTTTTGGATAGGTTGGTAACCATGTTATCCTGTGACTGACCGCCTGTCCTTGCCTTGCAGCCTCCACAGGATCTGTCACACAGGTGTCGTCTGTCACCACTGACTCTGCTGGCTCATCCTACTCCATCAGTGGGATTCTGGGAATTGCCTCCCCCAGTACTGAGAACAACAAACGCAAGCGGGATGAAGGTAGCAGGAGCTGTTTCTTGGGGGTGTGCACCGATGCATGGCCAGAGTGGTGGGCTGGGGCTGGGGTGGGTACTCTGTGCGTGTGATGTGACAGAGCTGCAGACATCTTTTGCCGTTGGCTGAGATGCGGTTTGGTTTTGTTTCAGCAGGACTTTGCCAAGGTTACAGCCAAGTCAGGGACCTTTGGAGTAATCTGGTGACCAGAAGCAGGACCTCTTTGGGTCTTATCTGGGTGTTTTAGAAAACTCTGGCAGTGTGTCAGTTTTGAACCTTGGACTCTTGTCCCAACTGTGAAAAACTTCCCTCCTGCCAGTGAACAGGGAAAGAGTCACTATTGTGTTGACTCTGTGGACACGTGAAAGAGGAAATAGCCACAAAGAAACAGAAAATAAAGGGCAGAGCCATCTGCCATGATGTTTCTCTAAGGTCCTTCTGCACCAGGGGCTTTTGTCAGTCTTGGAAGGTGGAAGTGAGCATAGCCTTTTTGGGGTTGGATATTGCTGGTACGCCTCAGATCCACCACAAGGTTTATGGTCCTGTTTTGTTCTGCATCTTACTGAAAGCAATCCTTTGGAGGGAAGGGTACCAGAGATGGACTAGAAGGACCATTCCTTTCATTTTGTAAGACCTTAAAGAGGCTGTGGCTGTGAAGGGGAGGGGACATCAGACCCATAGCAGGGATGCTACAGCTGAGGATGCGGAGGTCTCTTGCAGGAGTCCTCCTCTTCCTGCTGTCTCAGGTTTCTGCATCTTGCTGGGGAGCACTCATGTTCCTCAGTTCCTGCTGCTGGTGCAGGTCCAGCACTACCCTGCAGCCAGCATGGATCTGCATCCGTGCACTGCCCCTTTTGTGCTGTGCTGCCCAACCTCACCAGGATGGAGGGGGTGGTGGGTGGGTGTGATGAAGCTGTTGTGGCATTAACCCCTCCAAACTGTGGAGAAACACAGCTAAAACCATGCCAGCATCCTGGTGCCTGAGTTGCACAAACAGGATGATGTGCCTATGGATGCTTTAGTGGAAGCACACGATCAGAGTACAGCTATATTTACTGCAACTGGGGGAACAACTGCCAGAAGCTGATGGGGTCACTTTCAGCTATGTGAGAACTGGTCTGATGGTGGGAGTACAAATGTCCCTGTGCTCAGGTACTTGTTGAATATGTTGTTGTTACTTAACTCTGTGATTGTACATCTAATACTTTTTTCAAATCCAGGCCACAAGTGCATAGTTAAATACAAGCATTAAAGCAGGTAGGGTGGAAGTCTTGTATTTTACCAACTAGGTCAGGAGAGATGCTGTCTGGGTTGAGACCACATGCCTCCTCTGTCACAGCACTCTCCTGAGGCGCCAGATTTTGAGTGCCCTTGAGAAGACTCTGGTTTAACAGCAGAGAAAAGAATTTAATTCTTCCTTGAGAAGCAAAAGCCGTTCCCAGAAGCAGGGCTGAGAACCTCCCCAGCTTTTGCCAGTTCACATCTGGAAGTGAGCATGTCATATCTAAGCAATCTCCATCAGTCTGGCAGGATGAGTCATGGGTTTTGAGCTCCTAAGCCGGGCAGTAATGCTGTCCTCAGCAGGTTGTTTAAGCTGCTTTTATAACAGGCTCAGGGCTGCAGGTGTGAAGCAGCATAGTCGAATACTCCAACACTGTCTGTTGGGAGGATCCCCAGGAGTATCCCTAACCCCTTCCCATCCTGCTTAGCACAAGGTCCCTCTGGATGGGTGCGAGTGTGTGTGAGGTGCCCATGAAGGTGTCTGTGCTGCAGGTGACAGGGAGCTGGGTCGTATCTGCTGTATGTGCTTCTGATGAGAAGAGGAGAAGCATGTCACCTAATTATGGCCTGTATCATGATGTAGATGCACAAGGGGGCAGAGTTAACTTTATCATTTCCCGACTTTGGAGAGGCTCCTCCGCAGCAAACCCCTCACATAGTGTCCTTTGCTGTGATGTGCTGTTTCTTGATAACTGTTGGAAGGTGTATGCCTTCTGCTCTGCCTCCCTGTGCACTTTTGCTGGAGCCACCGGCTGTGCAGCAGTTCCGGCTGTTCTGTCTACCCTTGGCCGGGGGATGAGGTGGGTTGACTTGCCCCTCCAACTTCCAGCTGCACTGAACACTTGGTGTGATTCATTACCCAGTTTTGTTCTTACTCTTGACAATTATTTAGCAGATGTCACCAGTCTTTAACCCAGTGGGGAGCTTGCTGGGTAGCAACAGGGGCAAGCCAAATCAGACAGTCTTCATTGGTTTATATAGCTGAAGGTGTAATTTTTTTCCCTATTGTAATATGGACTTGGAGCAGATGTGCCTTCATGGGGGATCTGCTGCTTTCAATTGTGGTTAAAGGACATGATACTGGAGACTGACACGATGTGCAGGCTGTTCTGTAACAAAGTAGAGAGATACAGGCAGCTGTTGCAGCCTCCAACAGTAGAGGAAGCTGGGTAGCATCCTCACTGTTCTGCCTACAGATTGCCTCCTTGAGTGTTGTGGATGCACATTTGCCTGGCCCCATGGGTCAAGGAAGGCCTGTAGAGGTGCAGAGGAGTGGTAGGGGTGCATAGAGTGATTGTGCTGGAGTGCCTGCCCTGAATGGGGTTTGTTTTAGGATAGCAAGACCCTGAGTCAGAACAATACGAATGCTCCATCTAGTGCCCACAGTCAGTGAACATGTAGGGACAGGTTACACTGCACTGGCCACAGCTGGTCAGGTAGGCAGTGGTGGTCTCACAATGACACCTGTAAGGGTACATATTTTGGGAAGTGCTGAGCATCCCTTGTTTGGAAGTCAAAGCTTTCTGAAGTGGGGTCAAATAATCCTTGTCAAGCACTGAGAAGAGGGCAAAAGGGAGCTTTGTCCCCAGGTGGGCACATAGGAAACCAGGGCGTGTTTTGTGGATGAAGGAGGTTGCTGGGCTGCACTGGACTACTCCGGAGGATGCTCTGAGGATGATGGGGAAAGAAGGGTCAGATGGAGAAAGTAAGGTAGAGCGCACCCCTCCTTCTCCCTTCATTCGTCTCTTTAACAGCACTGATTTCCATCCTGCAGAGCTGTGCAGGTGTGAGAGAGATGTCAGAAGGGCTTAAGCCCAAACGTGGTGTGCCTGCTGTAACGTCAGCTGAGAGGGACCCTGGAGCAAGCATGTGTGCCCAAGACATGGAACGTGCCTCTCATCTGGGGTCTCCTTGAGAGCTGGGGCTGTCTCTACGGGAGAGTGGCACCCCTCCACCAAAGGACTCCTGCTTCCCCAAGAGCCCAGCCCTGTACTCTATGAAAGGTACACTGTGCCTGCTGGCCCTTTCCAGGAGTGTTCACCTCTCCGGAGTGGGGCAGTGTGTGGGGGCAATGCTGAGTGAAGGAGTTGCACCTCATGCAGAGCCCTCTGCTTGATGGTTTGTGTAGGGCTTGAGCTGCTTGGTCTGAACACATCTGTATACGAGTCCCACCTTTGGTGCAGGCAGCGGCCATTTGTGTTCTGCTCTGTGATTGCTGTCAGGGGCTGGGACTGGGTCTGTGGGAAGAGGCTCGTTCCTGTACCATTGCAGAGAGATGAGACTGGTTGCCAGAGGGTTTATGAAGAGGAGTTGGAATGATCATGAGAATCTCCATTCTTGTGGCTCCTCCTTGCTTTTAACAAAACACAGATCATTCCTCCATAAGGGAATGATGCCCCTTAGATCAAATACTGCATGTTATGTTGGGCTGTGTATGCCTGACTGTGAGTCTCCTACCAGCCCTCTGATTCTGCACCCCTAGAGATTTACATGCTTTAGCAGCTTAGCCCAGTCCAAGAACACAGAAGTATGCTTGTGCCCTCAATTCTGACACAGAAATGTGCAAAAATCTCTGATACTGGTAGGTAATAAGGGCAGTGGGTGAATATAAGCAGCAGCCAAGCCAGCCTGAAATCTTCTTGCATAAAGAGTTGCTCTGTACGTTCAGGATATTTGTCATGTCTACCAACTAACACTACTTGTATGCTGCTAAAATAGAGACCATCGATGCCTAGGCATAAATGTAATCTGGCCCATCCTGCTATGGTTAGAATCATAGAATCATAGAATGTCCTATGAGTTGGAAGGGACTCACAAGGATCATCAAATTTCAGCTTCTGGAAAAAAAACCAACAAAACCCACTCTAGGGTTGTCACTGCCCTGGCCCGATTTTAGAGTGTGCAAGCTGTCATCCTCTCAGCTGGTGTCTGCTAACAAAGGGTTTGGCATGGAGGGGCACTGTGCCACTGCTCAGGTGCAGCCATGGTGACACAGAAGATAATGCATTTCCTTGCAGGGACATGGGCTGTGCTAGACCAGTTGGCCTGTGTGCTTCCCTTGTGTATATGCAACTGGTTAGAGGAAAAGGCTACATGCAGCCATGAGTGCCTGACAGCAAAGTGTCTATAGCCCTGTCTGCTCAAATCGAGCAGGACACACTGCTGCACGAGATGCTCCCCACCCTCCCTTTCTTGCTGCAGGACAGGTTTGTCAGATTTAAGTACCTGCACCAAAGAGCAGACTTTATTTCAAATTTACCTTTACAGAGTCTTCTCAGAAGTGGAGCAGTTTGGGGAATTGAAACCAGTGTGGCAGGAGACCTCCACTTGTACCAGTTATTTTGTTTTCATTCTTACCAATCATAACCTGATGTTGTTGTCAGCACCTAGTGCGATGATGTACGTGCTGGTGCTTTATTTTCTCAACTGAACTCTGAGAAATGCCTTGCCTTTAATCACAGACATGGTGTGTTCCTAGGTGTTTGGGTCACAGCCTTTTGTCTAAGAGGATAAACCTCCAAGAGGGGCTGGGACCCTAATGGAAATGAGAAAGGACTGGGACTGATTGCAACCCAATGTCTTAGAGAACCATCCTGTTTTACAGTCACTACATTGTCATGAAGGGATGCCCTGGGTTAGGCACATCTGGGTATCCAAGCAGCACTGACCTGAGCAGCATCTGAAGCTGCTGGGGTTGTTTTCAAGGGCAGCAGTACCATGGCCGT